TGCCGAAGCCCCCCGGACTGACCCGCTGCGGGAAGAGCTGCCGCCTCCGGTGGATGAATTATCTCCGGCCAGATATCCGGCGAGGCAACTTCTCCCACGACGAAGAGAGGCTCATCGTTAATCTCCACGCCCTTTTTGGCAATAAGTATGTATATGCCTCTATCTTTTTTCTTTTTATATATATATATTACTGTTTTGCCAAGCAGGTAAATTGAATGAAAAGTTGTATATACTCTCGAATTATACGTTTTTTTTTTCGTTTGATATTCTTAACAGAAAAAATGTTTATAATACGGATGACGACTTTTTAATTTTTTGTCGTTGGCTCTGTTCTTTCTTGTTGCATGCAATCTGATCTCTGTATCGCTTTTTTTTTTAATTGACGAAAAAAAACACATACTTGTATATTTATATGTTTCTGGTTATATATCATTGCAAAATTTTATTTGATACTTATAATATACTGCTTTTTGGAACCCAAGCCTCCGTGGATGGGAATGTTCAATGATCAACTTCTTTGTTATGTTGCAAACTTCTTTTATTGGATAAAAGATACAAAATTACTATGTTATTGGATATATCATCGCGAAAAATTGGATATTATAATACGATCATAATGATTAACCGATCGGATAAATATTATGATACAGATGGTCGAAGATCGCGAGCCATCTCCCGGGAAGAACAGATAATGAGATCAAGAACTATTGGAACACTCACATCAGGAAGAAGCTACTGAAAATGGGGATTGATCCGAACACTCACAAGCCAAGAACCGACATTAACCACATCCTCGACAGTGTATCTCCGCTGCTAGCAGGCGCCGCAACTGCCAACCGCCGCCGATTTGCTAACGACTCTCTCTTCAACAACATTGCTTTCGAAGAGGTTGTCAAAGTCCAGTTGCTGCATAACATCCTTCATATGATGAACCCTAAAACCGTACCGAACATCCTTAGCCTCGATACCAATGGTATAAACCCGCCTAAAGCAAAACCGGCTGAGGGACAATCCAACACAGTGTGTCCGCAATTGTTCACAAACCCTTTCGGATCAACCCCTCAAACCAACATGGATTTGGGGCCATCACTTGAAAATCTGTGTGGAATCAAACAAAACCAGACTCGCGGCTCTTGGGACATTCTTGCAGAAAACCGACTTCCGGGTTTGGTTTCGGTTTGTCAAGATAATTCGAGTACTAAACTGGTTACCACAGCAGGAAATGTTCAGATCGGAACTAGTCTGGAACCGGGTTTATATGGTTATCACGATCAATTCCCTGAAATCCCATATTCGGTTCCGGTTTATGCTGATATGCCTGGATTAAACCGAACTGAAACGGCCCAACGATCGACGGGTTCAGATGCCTTGGAGGCTTGGGAGAAGCTCCTTGACGATGAAACAAGCGATTCCTGTTGGAAAAGCTTCTTAGAGTAAGATTTATATATCTCTTCCCAATATTAATCTATAATAGTTTTTTTATTTTATTTGTCATGATAGATTAATTTATAGTTTTTCATTATATGATTAAAAAAGAAAAATATGACTTAGAGAGACCATTTTCTGATTAATTCGCAGTTTGACGTCCCCAAATTCATCTGCAGAGGATCATTTGTGATTAGAGTGCAAGTTCATGCATCATCTCAAATTATATAGGATCATATCTTATACAGAAAATACAGAGAGAGAGAGAGAGAGAGAGAGAGAGAGTTCAGTGTTATTATTTGTATAAGTTGTAACTATATTTACTTTCATCGTTAATCGTCTATAATCAAGTACAATAATGATCGTCATTTATATATAGCAATAATAGAGAGAAAAAAAGGTTCTTTTGGACAAAAAAACGATTGATGTATGCATGATTATATTACATAAATGGGATATATTAGAAAGTCAAATAGTGTTAGTTAATGTTGTTTGCCGTTAGGTTTAGATCCTTTATATCTTTCAACTTAAACCGTTGACTGTTGTCTTATTCAACCTATATAAAGACAGACCAGAAAATGAATAAATAGTCTTGTGAAAAATAAAAATGAATAAAATCCACGGTGGCACTGGCAATGAACTTTTTACAGTTCAATTATTTATGTGAGCTTTTTCAACCCACACAACTAATGCCACGTGTCCTCTCCGCCGGGGTTATTTCTGCCATTCCAGTGAAAAATTAAGGCTAGTTTCGTAGTTTCTCTTGTTTTCCATCTATGTCCTCTCTCTTCTCCGTCTCCCACCGTGATCTCTCTCTATCTATCCGCACGAGGTGAACGGATTCTTTGCCGTCGGCGGCGGAGGTAATAGCCGCGGAGATGCGAGGGTGAAGGTTGGCGGTTCCTCTCCGCCGAAGCAGAAACCGCATCCTGCGGTGCACACTGCGAACGCCCTTCCGCCGCCGTTCCTGAGCAGGACCAGAAACAGACGCGGTTGTTTCATGGTGTTCGACGGACAATAGCTTCGTCGTCTGGAATCCGCCGGAGTTCGCGCGTGATCTTCTGCCCAAGTACTTCAAGCACAACAATTTCTCCAGTTTTGTTCGCCAGTTGAACACCTATGTACATCTTCTGATTCCCCATAATTTCGTTTGATCTGAAACAATTGGCTGTGATTCTCGTCTCCAGAGGTATTAGTTTGTTATGATATTGGTGGAAATTGATGCGTTGCGTAAGACATGTAAAACATGGGATTTCTGTCTTAGAAAAAATAGGTTGTTCGTTCTCTTTTTCAAATGGGTTAGAGATGGGTTTTGTCTGAGCATCCCTGGCAGCTGGCCTTTGGTGTTGAGATCCAGATGCTCTTGGTCGTGTTTGGATTGTGCATTTTTTTCAGTTGTTGTTTGGAAATTCACCGCCTTGTCTGGAGTTGGTATTTAACATCTCTTTCTTGGTCGTCTTGCAAAGACGTGGAACCTCTTTGCATCTTCGTGATGGTTTCGACCCCTTCATTAACGTTTGTTTTTCCTTCCATCAAACAGGGATTTAGGAAAGTTGACCCAGATCGCTGGGAATTTGCGAATGAGGGCTTCTTAAAGGGTCAAAAACACCTCTTGAAGACTATAACCCAAAGGAAACCTGCTCATGGCCATGGTCCTCCACAGGGCCCAAACTCAGCATCTGTATCGGCATGTGTGGAGGTTGGAAATTTTGAGCTTGAGGAAGAGGTTGAATAGCTCAAAAGAGACAAGAATGTGCTTATGTAAGAACTCGCCAACAACAGCAGCCAACTGATAAACCACCTTCAAAAGATGGTTAAACCTCTTCAGGTTATGGAGCAGCGACAACAATATATTATGTCTTTCCTATTCAAAGCCATGCAGAACCCCACCTTCCTGTCTCATTGCATACATAAGCAGAATAATAATATGCATGTCACTGAAGCCAACAAGAGGTGGAGGCTGAAACAGGAAACTGCTGCCGAGAATAACCATAGCTCGGTTGCTTCCGTTGGACAGATTGTCAAGTGTCAGCCTCTAAGAAGTGATGTGACCATGTCGATGATCTGGAACATAATGAATATGAATGACAATGGTCTCTTTCATCATGGTTGGTTTCCGACTCTAATTCATGGCAGCTCACTAAAACGGGTCTCATGGGTAACTCTTCAAGAGGTACTGCCCACAACTTCAGGGTGACTGCATGCACAGCCATCGTCCTACTTGCCTACAACATCTGGGCAGGGGTTATCGTATACACGCGTATCGTCATTGTTATCAGTCCCTGCAGCTTCTGCTGCCGTTTCTGAAGCCTTAACCACTGAACGATTCTCGAGAACTCAATTTCTGGAAAAGCCCTCTGCTTCAGCCTCCCCGTCCAATATTGTCATGCCTGCGATTCCCAGAATGCCAGAACTGGCACCAGATAGCTTCAGTGACATCCATACAGATAACCACATGGATTCTGAGGATTTCTTCGCGAGCCCTTTGCTGGATAGATCAGACCCCCCATTCAGTTCGAGGTGATGTCTCCAGATCTCGGCATGGATGATTGATGAGTAACTGTGATATCATTTTCCTTTCAGTCCCTATATCAGCTATGATAAATACTTGAAAATATATGTATGTGCATTTTCCAGTTTCCTTTCAAGGGAACAACCATTGTCGATTCTCCGGATTACAGTCATGGCTGTGACATGGGTAGCACTGGCAGAGGCCTCGACCGTTATACCTACCTGTAAGCAGATGGCTTCTCACCCTTTTAACGTCTTTATTTTATGCTCGATGTTTTTTTTTCAAAAAAAAAATCTTGCTTTGAAATGTCTGGAATCTAAGATGTCTTCGTCACCAAGTCTCTCGTATATTCTGGCAAACATCAGATGTCATGTTCGTCTTGATTTGGCTTCAAAACTCTTTTCTTTTCTAAAAAATAGTGAAAAAAAAGGAAGGGAGATTCGCCATATATGATCAAAACCCACATATTGATCTCTTGTCTATATGTTCGTTGTTTATCATTCTTCATCACACTTTTGATATATGGTCATAATATATATATATATATATATATATATGTATGTATTATGTAGAATCATAGATTCACAATATATTATATATGTTCAGACAATAGTCACATATATAGTCGCCGTCTCATTAAATTTCGAAAGGAGTCCATTCAAAAAGGTGCCGACATTTTTACCAATGTTTGACTTCTTGGAGATATTTCACCTGTCGTTTTCCACTGTAGTTTTTTAGGATTAGACCCGCAATATATATTTGACTGAGTCTTTGGTTTTATATGAAAAACAATAATACATCACATTTATCTTACTCTCCTGTTTAATATTCTCACGAGTAATTAAACCAATCATCCATCCATCCATCCATCTGGATGGACGAAATGCATGACATATGCACATGCATGTATACGCGGTTGTATATTAAGACTTGAGCTGGATGTTGAGTTTGACCAATTCTTTTTTTTTAATCATTGTGTATATGTGTGTATATATACACGCGAACACATATAAGATCGACACTGATTTTTTTTTATTTTTTATTTTTAGAAAATAAATCCTAAAGGTTGCTTCCTAACCGGATAATGCACGCATATTATATAATACAGAAATATATTAGGTCACATAATCTCATACATATACATACATGTATATATATATTGATAAGGCTGCAAGATTGAGTAATATTATTCCACATGGCTCGAGAGAAAACAGTGACCATTTGCCACGTGACATGACGGAACAAGAATGGATAGAATGAAATCGGAACAAATATTTTTAAAAAGGCTTTTTGGTCCGATCAAGCGATGATTTGTATATCCGAGGTGGCCCAATGAAATGGCATCCTTTGCATGCCAAATCTATATGTATTTATTCCATCCAATCAAACCGTGAAAACCAACACCCCGGTACAATATATGCCACGTGGACATTGTGTTATTTGCGAAAGTCGTAATGACACAAATACCCTCGGCGTTCGCTTCGGTCAACGGCGGTGAAAGGGACCTCCACCGGTAAGACGGTGAAAATGAAACAAAACGCCGTTTTTGGGGCCGTCTGCGTTTGGTTGAACCACCTAACAACCACCACTTTCCTTCACACTTCTCTTTCCTTTTTTAAAAAGAGTTTTTTTTATATAATGTAATAAATTTTATGTATATGTGCATATGAAATAATGCATCCCAAAGTTTTTATTAATTGGATTATTTAATATAGTTTCATATCGAATATTTAATATTATTATTATTACTTGTGAATTTCGGAACCCACCCGACCCACCTTTATTGTTTTTAAATTACGGTGGCCACTAAAAAAATTGACGCTTGGAGTATAAAACTATAAATTGTCCTTCGCAAAACCTTTTTCGGTTTTCCAAGTTCCTTCCTCTTTCGGTATACTTTTTTCCCATAGCTACAGTTTCTCTCTCCTCGCCGCCGGGAAACCGCTTTCTCCGACGGGAAACCGCTACCCCGCCCTGCTTTTCGGCCTCCGTTTCTCGTCGGAAACAGCTTGTGCGCTTTCTCTGGTGGATATTGTCAGGCGGATTTTGATATCCGTCGGACACGGTTACGCGGCGATTCGGATCTCCGCGTTTGACTCGGTCTGTCTCGATTCACGGCGTTTTCTTAAAATGTGGTGTGCCGTGTTCGCGTATCAAGTTGTGGCTTGATTCCGCGGGTTGAGGTCGTGATCTAGGGTTTCATATCTCCTTGGTTTGGCTGGGATTCTGGCTTTGTTCTTTGCTTGTCGCGGTCTGGTTTTCGTTGAGTTGAAGAGAACGGAGGCCTACAGAGATAGACTACGGAATGCCATGGTGAGTTGATGTATTCCCCGCATTTCCTTGTCTAAAATCGGTTTTCCTGCCTTGAAATTTGTCTAACCGTGTTTTTTATTGAACAATTTCCCACGGGTTTTGTTCTTAATGATTCCTGTTTCAGATCTCATGCATTGTTTTGGTTTTTGATCACCGTTCTGTTGCTTTTCTGAAATTTTCGATTGTTTCTTAATTTCGACCTTTGTAATTTTATTGCTGGTGGAGATTCTATGTATAGACAGATTTGGAAATCCTGCCCATGCCGGGAAATCTTCACGGCATTAGTGACAACATATAGGCAAATTTCCGGCGGAATTTGAAATTCTTTAATCGATTACATATTTTTAACTATTTAAGTTTCTTTTTGTGGAATCTCATCGCGAGAGAATTTGGCCTCTATCTTCCGTAGGAATTGGGTCGAATCTTACTCGGTCAAAATCTGTGTTCTGGGGAAAATTGTCGTTAGTTTTTGACTCGCGTTGTCCGAGGGTGCCGGAATAGTAATTTCACATTGAAGCATTGGTAGGGATTTGGTCAAACTGATAGGGAGTGTAAATCTTGGAAGCTGATATGCTTATACTTTTAAGAATGTTGCTGTTGACTGTTTCCGTTTTCTGCGTTCACTTTTCTGAGGAGACTTTGGCTATCTGGTTACGTATGAATCATTGACCTGCTGTATAGCCATGTCGCAGTATACGTAGGATGTGAACTTTTGATCCCGCAATTTTTAGTAAAATTTGCTTTTCCCTTCCACTTCTGTCCTTGGAATGTTATCTAACAACACCCTTCATCTCCAGGTCGAAGGGAGGGTCTGCTTGTCCAAAGAGGCTAAGAATGGTTTAGAATATCTTAAACGTAAAAGGCTTCAGAGAATGAGATCAGACTCTGTCAATGAAACAGTAGGTGTGACCAACACAGTCATTAGGAGTGGAGGTGATGCGCTGAGAGCATCGGCTTCATGTGGTGTGAGGTTACGGTCAAATGTTAGTGATACGATCTCCAGATTGAATGGTGTATCTGCTGGGAAGAATGGCTTATTGAAGCGCAAAGTAGAGAAGTTTGAAACAGATAATCTCGATTGGACCGACAGACTTCCAGAGTGTCCTGTCTACAGACCAACAAAGGATGAGTTTGAGGATCCTTTAATTTATTTGCAGAAGATTGCTCCAGAGGCTTCTAAATATGGTATATCTGAACTCTACACTTCAGTCCTGAATATGCAAGGATTAGTATCGGAGACTATTCAGATCAGTTCTCATTTCTACTCATGTGCATATGTTGGTTGAAGATGCAGATTGGTATTAATTTTATGATTAATATGAGTTACTAATTATATGAAACATTGAGGACATGTGCTAAATTGATAATGATAAGTGATATCTCGAGGCTTTTATGTTACTCAAATGATGTTAGTTTGAACTCAATTTTCTTCTGCGCCTCCACTTTTTGCCAGGTATCTGCAAGATCATTTCCCCTTTGATGGCAACAGTTCCTGCAGGAGTTGTGTTGATGAAAGAGAAAGTAAACTTTAAGTTCACAACCAGAGTACAACCTCTTCGACTTGCTGAGTGGGACTCCGAAGATAAAGTTACATTTTTCATGAGTGGGAGGTTTGTTACCCAACCCTGCAGAATTTAGTTTTACGCCTTTGATCCATATCTCTGGTTTTGATGATTAGTAACTATGCAGGAACTATACTTTTCGTGATTTTGAGAGAATGGCGAACAAGGTATTTGGTCGTAGATACTCTAGTGGCGGTTGTCTTCCTGAAGCTTTCTTGGAAAAAGAATTTTGGAAGGAAATTGCTGGTGGCATGGCGGAGACAGTTGAATATGCATGCGATGTAGATGGTAGCGCGTTCTCAACTTCGCCTAGTGACCCACTTGGAAGCAGCAACTGGAACTTGAAGGTTTTGATTTGATATAGACTCTCCTATTCAGTTAAACAATAAGGAAACTACTTCTTGATTTCTTAGATATGTTGGTAGTTATCTGCTTTTTCATTTGTCTCAGAAAGTTTCGCGGCTGCCAAAGTCCACTCTGCGTCTTCTTGAGGCATCTATTCCGGTAAGTGACAAGATGGCAATTATTATGCTGTTCTATAGTCCACATTGTATGTCTTCTCCTTTCTAACCTGGGTTTGTTTGTTTCAGGGAGTCACTGAACCAATGCTTTACATTGGGATGCTGTTCAGTATGTTTGCTTGGCATGTTGAGGATCATTATTTGTACAGGTAACAGTCAAAGTTAATTTTAGTTTGTACGTTGGTTACAAATTTTTTCTTATGTTCAAGTAAAGTAAAGTTGGATGTTTGATCTTCATTTTTACCTTTCTTTCTTCTCAAAAACAGCATTAATTATCAGCATTGTGGAGCATCAAAAACTTGGTACGGTGTTCCAGGTGCTGCAGCCCTAAAATTTGAAAAGGTGGTCAGGGAGTGTGTATACAGTGATGATATTCTGTCAACCATTGGAGAGGATGGAGCCTTTGATGTGCTTCTGGGGAAAACAACCCTATTCCCACCAAACATTCTGTTGGATCATGATGTGCCTGTTTACAGGGCCATACAAAGGCCTGGGGAGTTTATTGTTACATTCCCTAGGGCATATCATGCCGGCTTCAGCCACGGTAAGACATTTTTGTCCTCCAATTGGCCAGATATTTTTGTCGCCCCTACCTCCAACTGCACACCTTAGCCACGACTTGATCTTTATCTGAATCATGATCATGTGTTGAAACTTTGTAGGCTTTAACTGTGGCGAGGCTGTGAACTTTGCTATGGGTGACTGGTTTCCCTTTGGAGCTATTGCCAGCTGCCGCTATGCTTATCTTAACAGGGTCCCTTTGCTTCCTCACGAGGAATTGATTTGCAAGGAAGCAATGCTTTTATACACAAGATCTGAACTCCAAGATCTGAATTTTTCACCTGCAGACTTGGTGGCACACCATTGCATCAAGGTTGCCTTTGTCCACCTGATACGTTTCCTTCATTGGGCTCGTTGGTCTTTGATGAAATCAAGATCATGCACAGGCCTCACTTCGAATACATATGGGACCATTGTATGCAGTTTGTGTAAACGGGATTGTTATTTGGCTTTTATAAACTGTGACTGTTACGCGCATCCTGTTTGCCTTCGCCATGGTAAGCTTTATTCTCTTCTCTCCATACAGATCCTTTGTTTACGATTTATTTATTTTTTTATTGAGGGTGGAACTGTATCTTATCCAGATATTAAAACGCTTGACCTCCCATGTGGGAGTATCCGCACCCTTTTCTTGAGGGATGGCATTGAAGACATGGAAGTTGCTGCCAAGAAGTTTGAGGAGGAAGATGGAGTATCAGATGCAAATTTGATGGCAGGCGAAGGAGACTTGTATCCATACCTGATGTCAAACACCTTTCCAGTGACTGGAGGAGACGGATACTCTCCTTATTCCACCATAGATTTTGACTTCGCCCCTGAAATGGATATGACATCTCGTGACCAGGCAAAGCAAGGAAACCCTGTCTTGAGCCTTGAAGCTGGTGTCTCGTGTCTGTCCTCCGTTGTTGATGATTATGAATCCGCAACAACTCCTGATTATGTAAGTTTTGAATATTTTTATTACTTAGTTTTCATGATATACGCTTGTTGGAATAGCTAGCTCTTTCCAATTGTCTTATATCATTTCTGTTTTCTTCAAAGCAGGTACAGGGCCGAGCTAATGTTAGCAGTGTTGACTCCAAGCTGTCTACAGAAGTAACATGCAGTAGTTACAAAACTCCATTATTCTCTGCGTTTCCAGGGGAACTTCCAAATTCCCATTCTGGGAAATCTCACCACGTCCCAAGTGATAGACCTGTGGTGGATCAGGAAAGTGATGGCTCTGATTCCGAGGTTTTTAGGGTCAAACGCCGTTCTTCTGTGAAGTTTGAGAACCGAACATTGGTCCTTGACACGTTAGTAAGGAACTCTGAGCATCAGGTGAGCAAGACGCATCTCTGTATTACATGGCACACATTCATCTTTGATCTTGTTGTAATATACAGCGGAAACTGAGAGGAACTCTTGTTTCTTTTCGGACCAGAGGTCTCTTAGCATCCGAACCTTCATGTGTATGCCATTTTCTTAATCGGTTTTAACATGAAACAGGAGGGGCTTAAACGACTGAAGAAACCGCAACATGAAAGAAGGTGTGGCCAACTGGTACAATCCAAGGATGAGCCTGTAATTGAATCTCGCTCTATCTCAAACCGAAGGGAAACGTTGCAGCAAAGTGCTTCAACCGACAGAATCGTTAGAGGAAGCACGGTTACCGGTTTGATAAAGATCAAGAAGACCGGGAATCATAATCAAATAAGCAGACCACCGCAGCAACAGAATCACTGGGAAGGCAGAGGAGGAGGGCCAAAGCGTCTAAAAGTAAAGGGGCCGAGGTTCGCTCAACCAGAAGGATGAGCAAAAAAGCATAACAAAGACTCCCTGACTATCATTTTTTTTCCTGCTAACCGGATTCTATTGTTACAATATGGGAGTTCTAACAACGCCGGGGGAGATGAGGAGGCAAACACATATAGCTGATTTCTGGGAGGAAGCAACAGACATAACATAGAAAAAGTTTAACCCAGTTTCATTGGTAGGACACAATCTTTGATTCTTTTTGTGCAGGATGTATGTCCAAAACCTAGGGGGGCAACCCGCACCTACGTCTTTGAAAGAAACAAAAAAAAGGAAGAAAAATTGCTTATGGAGAGGGAAGGGAGGGAGTGTTCTCTCAGGCCGCGGTGTTTTTCCTCCGTGGTAGGGGAGCCTCAAAAGCCGGAGGTTAGTTGTAGCAGCAGCAGCCACTATTTTTTTTTTATCATCATTTGGAATATTTTTTTCCCAGGCAGAGTAGAGGGCCAAATACACTATTCCCGTTGTAAATCTCTGGCCTTAGGATTAAGATTGGCATTTTTTTTTAGGGAAGGCGCCTCTGCTGCCATTGATTGGGTTGG